TTCCACATGATAAACATTTACCAAACTCCATCTCACCTTTGTGATTTGCTTTGTAATTCCTTGTTGAAACACCTTTCATATTTACACGAGAATAGGAATCATTGTTAAATGTACGCACGTTCGATTGACCCTGAGATTGTAATACATCATGACGACTAAGCAAAGTATTGGAGATCTTCATCGACTGGATATCAAGTTCATTCACTGCTTCACAGTTAATACACGCAGTTCTAGCATCTTGAAAGGAACAGTTTGGTATTTTTAACAGCTCTCTTTCCAAACTCATTATGTTAATTCCTGCAATTAATCGATCTCTCAGTTGCACATGAAGTTGATCACCAAAATTACACTTGGCAGCTTGTTTCTGCAATTCGAGGATGAATTCCCGAACTTTTTGGTCATTTTGACGAACCATCTCATGAAATTTCGCCCTTTCACGGCATTCAAAACTGGTGCACTTTACATGATTTAATAATAGTTCCTTAAGAGTTGTATAAGGAAGTGAGATAGGTTTTTCTGGATATGCCAAAGTTTTTAATGAGCTGTACGCTTCTCTTCCAATGAATGTCAGAAAATGTGCCACAATTTTATCACCTTTAACATCTTTCTTAGTCATGCTCGAGATTTCAAACCTTTCCGAATAATCCTCAAAAGCTTTGGAAGTTGAATGGATATCTAACGTTTCCATTTCAGGCTCCATCGCGACGCCAATATAATGTTCGAATTATTTGAATTGTAGTATGAACTAGGAATCCCAGAATTAACGCAATTGAATCAAGAACTACGACATAAGCACAAACGAATGTATTGTATTTAGAATTCGAAATCGAGCATTCGACAAGTACAATATTATCATTAGTTCGTTCAAACACCACAGAAACCTTGGTTTACCAGAAGTCGTAAAGGGATAGAGCAAAACTATTATGGTTGGGGTAGGCTTTTACTACACATTCATAGATCAGGACAGTTGGAGCGTGAGGGCCTTGTTTGGAGACACAGGCTTTTCAACGTTAATAGCCCTATAACATGAAACGTAATGCTTACACAAACCAATGAAGTGAAAACACACTTGACATTATTGTTCTAATCTTAAGAGGATGTTCTTGGCTAATTTGTAACCACTCAACTTAGGCTGTTACGGATTCATTCATTTTGTTGGTTATAAGGAAGCAGTGACGCCGCAAAATCAGAAATTAGTAATACGGTCGTTCTCTAAAAAATGTACTCGAAATAAAAGCAAAGGAGAGGGAAGTTGTGGATAGGAGAAACATTATATTCTACTGCAAATACAAGAAAGCCGAGTTGCGATATGGTTTGAAAGCTTAACCGAGCTCGTTCAGTTAGCAGTGTCCGTTGAGACATATTAGCTTTGCATTATCACCACGTATCTACAGGGTGGGTTTATTTTTTGGGAGGAGGTTAGTAGCCTTAACAGCTTCAACGCTAAAGAGGATTTCCGCAGTGCCGAGAAATCTAAGACTTGTTACGTACTGCAGTTTCCTATTTATTGTGAAAATTGTTTCAAGTAACAGAATTACAATATAGACAAGGCTTTGGAGCATTTAAATGCATGAGCCAGTAGTCGCGGAATCATTTAATTAAACTGAAAACTGATAAGCCTTACCGATTTGCAAAAACGGTTGTTAAAATAGGCCTAGTTAGTTATTTTGTGTTACTGCCATTACCGGTTCATCACCTTACCTTTGTTAGGAAATGTGGTTCTTAAAAATATCCAGTCACGTCTCCAGGAATGGAGTCGTGAAACTTAAACTTTATCTTCATGCTGTCATTCGGACTGCTAGCTATTGAATTTCTGGAAATAGTATTTCTGATGGCCTTAGTAAGTCAAGTAGGAGCATAAGTCTTCTCGTTGTTGCAACAACGACAGCAGCGAATGGTTTTGTTTGGCCGAATAAATTTTTTATGAGATAATGCTGGATGGCAGGTGAATATGGAACGCAACATCATGGCGTATTCATTGACTTTAACGAAGGTTTAAGTGAGTTATTTAACGTTGGTTTGATGTGAACATTCATTAGCTTTGGTTTTGCATGCTTTCTGAAGCTCACACTAATACGTTAACTCTGACGGGGAATGAAATGTAAGTAAAAACAGAAATCCCTAAACATAAATTCTTAGAAAGCGTTATCCTACAGGGGATGAATCTTGGGCGATAAGAACATTCATGTATTCCCCACCGCTGACAGGAATCCTCCTAAGTGCGTTGCTAGAGTTGTGTTCGGGATATTATGGTCAACGTATGCGAAATTTATTTTGAGTAACGCTCTCAGAATGTCAGTGTTTTAAAATAGATTTTCGACAGAGAGAACGACAGATTTCAGAGGCCGAATAATGAGTCTTTAAGATGTTTCCCCTGAATTGTGTATTCCTATGAAAATTAGGGTAAAGGATGGAGAGCTAACCTGTTCGGCTTGGCTGGAAGCATGTACGAGAAGTCCAATTAGTATACCTTGATATTCAGTAGCTGAAGTCATTAATTGAATACCTTAAACTAATTTAGTTAATCAAACGAATGGAAACCACGCAAAGTGTTGGGTACCCGATGAACCATGTTTCCTGAAGAACCTTAGACTGACAATTGGTTAGGGATTCTAGATATAGTCCGAAACGGTTATTCTCGTATATAAAAAGGCGAACTAAGAGAAGCGATGGAATTCCATCACTTTTGGTACGAGACAATCCGTTAATCTTAGCAGAGAATGATGCCGAAAAAGCTGAAGCTTTATCGGAATATTTTAGTAAAGTGTTTTCTATCGGTAATGAGGAACGACAAATGATTCATTGTGACCGTGACGGCTCGCTGATGGATCCTGTAGTCATTGAGAAAGATACTGTTTTAAGGCTACTTCAGCATCTCAAACCTGATAAGTCCAGTGGTCCCGATGATATTCATCCTAGGATTATGAAAGCCATATCAGGTGAAATCGCTGAACCATTAGCGATACTATTCGACATGTCTCTGAGACAGTCCAGACTTCCTAGAGACTGGAAAGACGCCATAATAAGTCCGGTGTATAAGGCTGGGAGTAGGGATTTAGTTAGTAACTATAGACCCGTTAGCTTAACTAGTGCAGTTGTGAAACTGATGGAGAAAATCATTCGGACAGCTGTTATAAACTATGTTGTAGGGCAAAATCTTTTCTCCAGGGCACAACATGGTTTTCGGAAAGGCCTATCTTGCTTGACAAATCTTCTCATTGCACGAGAAGAGTGGGCTGCGGCAAAGGATCGGAATGCTTGTGTGGATGTAATTTTCATAGATCTAAGTAAAGCCTTTGATAAGGTTTCACACTCTGGTCTTAAATTCAAACTGAAACGTTTGGGAATCCATAACACAGTCGTCGATTGGATAAGTAACTTTCTCCATGACAGGAGACAAAGGGTAAGGGTTAATGGGGCTCTCTCCTCGTGGGTACCTGTAAAAAGTGGGCTTCCCCAAGGCACAATCCTAGGTCCTCTTCTCTTTTTACTTTATGTAAATGAATTGCCAACTGTAGCAAAATCCTTTAAAATATCTCTTATTCACACCCTCTAAATTCTACCACATATACATACCTTTTCACTCAAATACAACCTTCTAAAAAATAAAATATTCATTAACTCCTTATTACAACTCCTACCCAACCATCTCTATATATATCTAACCCACCCAATCATCCACTACATTCCACAACCCTATTCAACCATCCCCCCTCCTAACCCCAACAAATACTATTCTAACACAACATCCCCATCAACCCCTCCAACTACCATACCTATCATCATCATCCCCCCTTACACCTTTACAACATTACAATTACTTAACAAACCTACAAACTTCAACATCCCATACTCCCCTTCTAACCCACCCTCAAAACTTTTTCCCCAAACTCCACCTTCTCAAAATCCTTATACCCCAATAAACCAAACATACCCTCATAACATAATTCCATCTACACCTACTATCAACTCCCTAATTACACTTATATATGCTCTCTTCAATCCCATCCCCTCACCCCTCGACCCGCCCCCCCCCCCACCCACCCCCTTACCAAAACTCTACTCTTCACTCCCCCCCCCCCCCCAACCTCGTAGAGTACGGGGTGATCTAATATTGGCTTATCGTATACTGAACGATGACCTTGGTATTAACATGTCTTATCTTTTGCTTCCGTCTAGAACCGATCATTTGAGAGGACATTCGAAGAAAGTTCAAAAACCGAGGTCAAACCGTTTACGTCTGGAGTTCCGTTTCTCGCACCGAGTAGTGAATTACTGGAATTCCCTACCAGAACACGTAATATCAGCACCGTCTGTTAATATATTCAAAACGAGATTGGACCTCCACAGTATTACAAACTGCAAGGATTAATATAGGTCGACAGACCTCCTATCCTTATTACTGAAGACTGAAGACTGAAGACTGACAGTGGTTAATTATTGTTGAATCTATGTACATCATTGGTATCAAGTTGCTGATCCTATTTTCAAAAGCCTACGCAATCAAATCGTTTTAATAGTCACATTATAACATTAGAAATGATATAATGTGTCATAGACGATTACTCAAAAACTAAAACTATGCTTCTCTCATTCTCAAGGTTCAGGCTTCTTCTGTAGGATTTACGAATGAGGTGAGAAACTGACAAGTAAATTGGGGATGAGATTCCCTATTCACAGAAATTATTCGAGCCTAATGGTTAAAATAACCAAACTGCGCGGTGCCGAAGACCTGAGACCATTATTTATGACTAAGCTTCAATCAGAAGCAAGCGTATTTGTCACTGTAAACTTTTAAAATATTGAGTATGTTTGAAGTCAGCTCTGTTGCATTTAGTGGGGCTTCAAGGGATACTTGACAAGAGAAATTGAATTCTCATGGTGGTACCCACTGCAGAGAATAACACGACTTAACAGACTCATAAACCAGATTACTGGGGAATGGAAATGTACATTTGTTTAAAGTGGTGGGGTTGGCGGTTTCCATCTTATCTCCATTGATGCCATCAGTAGAGATTTCTGATATGGTTGATGAGTCCAAAGGACAACATCAGGTTGACAATGCTAATGGATTAATCGAAAATTCCCCAAATCCCCTCTCCCCCCTCGACTGTGATGAGAAGCCTACCAATGGGGCTGATGATTCAGTGACAGACGAGAACGACGACGATAGCAGGTACTTTTATTATTATTTATTTTCTGTCGATAGGAAACTGTTTGTCGGTGGTCTAAGCTGGGAAACAAATGAAAGTAAAGTGTCATGCTTGTTATTCACTATTTCCTCAGATGATTTAAAGGAATATTTCTCTCGTTGGGGAAAAGTTACCCAGTGCATCATAAAACTGGACAGGTTCACAGGAAATTCAAGAGGGTTTGGTTTTGTTACTTTGGAAAATGAAGACTGTGTCTCAAAAGTATTGTCTATTGTTTGTTTGACTTTGTAGGTTCTCAGTGTCCCTGAGCATTGGTTAAAGAATAAGAAAATTGACCCTAAAAAAGCGAAACCTTCTCGAGAACCATTAAAAAAGATTTTTGTTGGTGGTATTGATCCAGAAGTAACGGAAGACCAAATACGTGAATACTTTAGCAGTTTTGGAAAGGTTAGTCAACACAGTTTAATAGAGACCTCGATAGGTTGAGTCATTAGACTTGCCTTATGACACTCAAAAAGGGAAAAGGAAGCATTATATATTCGTTAGTTTTTCCACTGAAGCAGCTGCCAAAAAAGCTATTTCAAAGGAGCGTCAAGATATTTTCGGTCGACAGGTATGTCGTTTATTAGTTGATTGGCAACATAAAATTCCGTCTATCAAAACTAAACGATGAATTCTTTCTTTAGTGTGATGTTAGGGTTGCTGTCACACGAGATCAAGCTAACAGACAAAAAGGTTTGTCCGGAATTCTAGTTATTTCGTTTTAGTAGCTCTGAAACAATGGTATAACTGGTTGGACCCCAGCTTCTCTTACCCAGGATATGCCTATGGTGACTACGCAAACGCTTACCCTGGCTTTGACCCTTTTACTTACGGCTATTATGGATATGATTACTACGGAAGCGCAGCAGCAGCTGCTGCTGCAACGGGTTATGGTAAGTGCATGTAATCCCAAAGTTTTCTCATTAGTTTACATTTTAATCGTTTCATAGTCTTGATGCTTACATAGAAATAAATTTGGATGGTAGGTTTCGGTGTGTAAACCCCTTATATGTACCAATGTATGGATAAATAGTTCTTTAGTTCTAAGGATCTCACATGTGATAGGATCATGGTTACGTTTAGACTACTGGAGCAGAGTTTATTCATGAGTACATGTACGTGATAATCTTTAGTCCTCGTAAGACTATAATACCAAGTGGAGTAGTTCTGATGTTTCGATACATAGTTAAAGTATGTTAAAGGGAATCTAGGGGCGATCAGACCATGACGTGCGTCAGTTCATGAAGGTACTGGCTTGTGCTGGTCCATGTAGTAAGGTGGGGATTATCTGGTGGTTTGCGTGACTATTGTAACCTGTAGTTAAAAACTTTAGACGACATGGCTCGCTGTCATTTGCGTTGGCGCGAGTATACTTTTGTCTTCCATTAAACTTTAAGTTTCCAAACTTATAAATATTTTTCGTTCCACTAGTCTATACATTCTTAAATCCTGTCTATTCTCAACTTTTCTATTACCAGTAAAATTCACCACCTCCCTTGACAACTTCATCTCTCTATGCTAGTAGTGTGTGGCAATTTGAACCGGTGTACATATGTCTTAGGTCCTACTTTGTGTGTGATCAACTGACTAATTAAGGCGTCAACATCGGTTACAGTTCTTGCATTCAATACACATGTCGAGGGACCAGCTCTTATCATCTGGTTTCCGGTAAACACCAAAAGTCATGAGCATTTCGAAAGTTATCTAGATCATGGCTTTTAATTAAATCTCACTTGGAGGGTTGAAATGCATTAATTTGTGCTGTTGGACAGCATAGAAAGGTCAGAGAAAGGTAACAAACGTGCTCATCATAACGTTAAGACGGCATAGTGAATTGTTTGTAAATTGTTCATTGTTCTCTAAACTACCTGTACCGTTATTCCTCATATCCGTTTATGCTAAGTGTTTACAACCCCGAGATCCACATCACCCAAAAGCGTCACTGGCTATTTCAGAGATGACACCCTATTTTGACTTTGTCGAAATATTGCTGGATTCCTTTTGATCTATACTAGGGTGGATGATAATGTCCTGTTGACATTTTTTGGGTGTCGTTTTCGTGGTTTAGCAAACTAGTGGTCTAAATTTATTTCGGTACAGACTTACTTTCAACGTGATTCTTCTAAACCCACTTTAAGGAAATCATGCTCATTCTCTTGGTGGCGTTAAATGTTGTCGCTCTAAGTAGTGAGATTATTTTTTCCAGATTTTACAAATCTGTGTATTTGTTGTGTGGCGCATGTGTGTTTCGTGCCCCCTTGTACCAATAAATAAAATATTGATAACATCATCTCGATTATAGTGGTATACATTCTGTATGTTTTATTAAGTGGTATGCTATCACGGTTGTATTTACGAAAGAGACCAAAGTATTTTTCCAAGGAATCCTTATGGTTGTTGTGACGAGACTGATACTTAATCACATTTCAGTTGGTTGCACCTGTTCACCTTTACTTTAGATAATTTTGTAAGAATTCTGAAGGGTTTTGAGATGTCAATTTTTGTATCTAGTTCACGTCTTTACACGCTGATGTCTTATTGCAAAATGTCTCTCTCGTTTTGCTACGTAGTATTACATTTTGAGCTGGTATTTTTGTCACAGATTTTATACTGTCCTGCTTTCTAGTATATGTATTTTGTATAATTGGTGTAACGTATATTGTATTTCCATATCTTCCGAGATGACCACTTTTAGGGAGCATATCAAAATATTCCTTTGGAAAAATTTCGGCCGATTGGATCTAAAAGTACTTTATAACTATGGCATATCCGCTTATCATTCAAAAATTCATGAGATCTCATTTCTTCTCTATGGTGTAAAAATGCAAGCTAAGAATGAAGCATCTAGGGTTAGAGAGTATGCGAGTAAAGGACGCTTATGCGGATTAAGATCATTTTTATGATCATATTATTACTAAGTGGTGTGGAGTTTCATATCCTGTTACTTGTCATTACTAGTACATTTTATGTAATCTACTGTCCAAATCGTAATTAGTGCTGTGCTTACAGAAATGTTTAAGCCATCAGACCTGCATTTTTGTTTGTACTCGACACAGCATTGTTTCGTGTAATGTTTAGATGTTAAACCAATTTTTCTTAACTACCCTTGTGCTAGATGTCACATTGTGTTGTTCGCTTTCTTTTTAGGGGCATATACCAATCTAGCTGCTAATCAGTTTTGTGGAGTAATTAATCCCAACAAAGTAAATCAAAGTATCCGTACTCCTGCTGCAGCACCAGGAGCTGCCACACGTATGATTGGTAGTGGCACGACTGGAACAATTGGTGCGAACTCCCATCAAACCCAATCTCACACACATCTAAATTACACAAACTTACTTACTTCCCAGCTAGATCCACACCATACAACGATGTCCGCTGGCCTAGATTTCTCTGTAGCACATCCTCAACCCGGTCAAGGCATGGTTGCTGGATCAGGTGCTACCCGGTTTTCCCATCCTCAATAAGCCATAACATAACTATTCAAAGTAAAAAACCAGAATAACTCAGTGCAAAGTCTGTTTATTCAAGTTATTTTGAAAGACTACTGTCATTAATTTGTATTCAGTGATTTATTCAAGGCATATATATGCTGGACTTCTGTGAATAACTGCATATTTTGTGAGTGGTAGCAGTAATAACCTACGAATCGGATCAGTTCATATCGTTACATTGTGCCTAGTCTGCTAAGTAAGTATGACTTATCTCGTTGCTCAATATCATCCTTGATGCGTTTATTTCCCTTCATTTTTACTTGTTTTGTTTGAAAGTTAATGCGACTAATACGTACGTATTCACACATGCGTATGTACTATCTGAAATTCAGTTGTTTATAAATTCACTTTATTGTGTTTGAAACCGATCAGTTAGCTTTAGTGTGGTCTCTGTTTTACCCAAGTATTGTTTAGGAAAAACTTCAAGAATGTGTATATTTAGTATTTGTGTACATAATGACACTACAACACATTTGTTGCTGTTATTTTTTAATGCAATGATTACTTTTAAAAATCCTCTTTTCCTTGTATCCCCAACTCTTGTACATTGTTTCCTTTATATTTTTTGAAATTAACGAACATTTTTCATCTAATTTCTAACTTCAAAAAGCTGACGATTGTTAACTTGCATATTTGATTTGTATATTTCTTAAGTTGTTACTATAGGCAACATATAATCTTGGCCGAATTTTTGTGGATAAAGTGAAAGCGTTAACATCTGTTTTTATAAATTTTTATACATATATTTATGCTTAAATTCCCGGTACGATTCGGACTGACTCCATTTTTGAATGACTAATCTAAAATCACAAATATCTTGAATGTATACAGATTGGACATACGGAAGTACATTTTTTCTATATTTTGTGATTGATGCACTGATCAAATTATGATGCTTATGATGTTATTGACTGTCCACTGGTTATTTTTATTTGTATACACTCACCTATTGTGCTTCCGTAAATTCGTGATACACTATTTCCATAGTCTTTTATATTCTCTTATGAGGAATTGCGCTCATAAAAAATGATATTGATAATCTATTCTGCAAGTATAGTTTTCAACTTTTGTCAGCTATTGGATCAGTTTGTGTAAATCACGTTTAATTGTGTGATGTCTGTATGAATTTATATAAATCTGCTATTCGCTATACATTGGTGTAAGACATAAACCATCATAGGCACCTGGGCTTTTCATTTAGTTTACGTGCTTTATCTTTTGTGAAATGTCTGATTTATATCATTGATTACACTTAGGAGTGCGCTCACTTTTATCTGCAACAATTTTTACTGTATCTTCACAAAAACCATCGTATGTATCACGTCTGTTTATTAAATGAGATGTTTAGGTTAGTCACACATAAAAGGATCAAGGTTCATATGCATGTAGGAACTGTCTGACAGGTTACATGCACCATATTCTAACTTCGTGATACCCCGTTTTTTTATAAAGACAATGAAATTATTAAGAAATGCACCAAATAAAGAGTATTATGTGTTATGTTAAGACTTGGTAGTCTTCATTTTCGTATGTCGTGTCATGCTTCGTTATCGAATTAGCAACTTATGATTGAAATCGAGTTAGGCAGACTAAAAACCTCGGTTCAGTGTTTAGTAATTGACAAAGAGTCTGACTTACTGTTGCTTTAAAAACCTTAATCATTAACCGTACATTTGCTCATATTAGTGTCATTTACAATCATATGGAAAGTATCATTGGAACCTTGACGATAATTTTAAATTCTTACAGTGTAATCCACTCTCAATCTTAAACTCATTCCATGTAATAGTAGAGAAATTCATCGTACGAGAAGGAAGCGGATCCGTATGCTGTTGGTTTTTATGTTATTCGTCCAATCTGAAAAAGTTTATTCATCTGCATGTATAAGTCCACATGCACTGCAAGTGATCATGCATCCTTCGTAAGATCAAAGTTTGTGATTCGTCCTTAATCGTACAGACTATTTTGTATCCCCATTAGTAGTAATTAAACAGCAATGGAATATTAAGCTTAATATACAAGTTTGGCAAAGCTCATCTTTAAACAGTCACTTTTACAATCGAAGGATACTGAACTACAGTTTTCGGAAGCAACGTATCTAATAAAAACTAGTAGGATGGCATTGTCAGGGAAAATTTATCCGCTTAGTTATTTGTATTTTCAGTTATTGCCAGCTCTGATATCTTAGAAGCAAGTGTTAATAGCGGGCAAGCACATTCCTATTTTCAGATCAAACTTTTAGATTAGCGGCTATATGTTGGAATCCAAGGTTTTTTAAATTTACCATCAATATGATGACCTCTGAGTGGAACTTTCTTTTCAACCCCGTTCACTTTTTGAAATGTGTACTTACGAGATTTAATACAACTCTACCTAAAGAAGTTTTTTTGGGTTCGTTTACCCAATTATATGCATACGCATACCTGAAATGCGTGGTGCTACGTTTGTTTGGATGTTCTGAACAAAAGAATGGATATGAGTATGCATATTTTATTTAATGTGTTCAATGTGTCAGTCTTCTCAATCCAGTCCAATCTTAATAAATATAAATTATACTGGTTAGAGAGATAATAGGTGTCACCAAATGTGTGTTTTCTGAATTTCACCTTGCTTTTTACTTTCAGTCAGTCAGTCAGTCAGTAACAACGTAGAACTTCGTACGTACGTACATCAGTTCGAGTTGCCACACCACATAAGCACAGAGATGCAGTTGTCGATTCAAATCCCGTAGTGGTAGAGGTAATAAGAGTATAAGCAGTAATCGGGAAGATTAGGGTTTGGAGATGTTATTTAAAGAGTATAATCCAGTGAAATAAATTTGGAAAGAGGAAAAAAGGGACATGAAGAATTCAGAAGATTAGAATTTCGGAGAACACAGAGAGTGGATGCACCTGCGCCATTGCAAACGATTTTGAGCCATGTCATTCAAGGTCTCTAACCATCGGTTGCTATCATCTCGTGGTCCCCAACCAGGTAGTCTGCACCTACCAACATGACTCAGTCCACTTGTCAGTGACTTCATGGACTTGTGCCATGTTTTGGTCTGGCCGCCCCTAGCTTTCTTCCAACCTACTCCTATACCACTGAACATAGCACGTCGAGGCAGTCGGTCGTTGGACATACGTAACACGTGTCCCAGCCACCTCAACTGATGAAGTTTCACTACTTCATCAATTGATTTGCTATCCTTACCTAGTACCCGTTTCCTAACAACTACATTACTTACTCGATGGTCCCAGGATATACGAGCAATGTTTCGAAGACACCTATGATCGAATACTAGTAACCTACGAATATCCTCTACTCTTACCGGTCATGCTTCACTGCCATAAAGTAGGACGGGACGAACTGCTGCGCAGTAAACCCGTCCTTTGGTTGATAGACGGATATCTCGCCTACGCCATAAATGACGCAAGTTGGTAAAAGCTAGTCGAGCCTTCTGTATCCGTGCTGAGATTTCGTCACAAACCAGACCACAAGGGCTGATGAGACTTTCAAGATAAGTGAAGCGGTCGATACACTCAACTACTTCACTCCCTATCACTAGTTCGGGTGTCGATGTAACCCAATCCTGAAGCAACATTTTGCATTTCGAGGGAGAGAATCGCATCCCGAACATGCTTGCATTGTTGCTTAGAGTGGTCAGAAGACTCTGCATTTTGTCAGCGTCTTCACCAAATAAAACTATGTCATCTGCATATTCTAAGTCAACAAGTGAACCTCCCGGTAGAAGTTCAACCCCTGGAAATTTAGATGAGGAAAGTGTTATCTCTAAAAGTACGTCAATGACAAAGTTGAACAAGAATGGGGAGAGTGGACAGCCCTGACGAACACCACTTGAGGTAATCAATTCTGATGACAGTTCGCCATAAGCTCTCACTCTACCAGTTGTGTTCGAGTAGAGAGCCTTTATAAGGTTAATGTACTTCTTTGGTACTCCTTTCAGTGACAAACACTGCCATAGAACCTCACGATCAACAGAGTCGAATGCCGCCTTAAGGTCGAGAAATACTACCATTGTGGGGCGTCTGAATGTGTGTCTGTGTTCCAGAACCTGACGTAGTGTGAATATCTGATCTATACAACCACGTCCAGGTCGAAAACCGGCCTGGTTTTCTCTAATCTGCTCTTCACGAGCTTTGATTAGGCGTCGAAGTATTATTGAGGCTAGTATTTTAGACACTATATTAGTCAAACTGATTCCTCTGTGATTGTCACAGGAGGACTTATGTCCTTTCTTGTAGACTGGCACAATCAGTGATTGAGACCAGTCAGATGGGATTACGTCCAGTTCCCAAATTCTACCTAAGACCTCGGTTAATCTCATTGCTAATACTGGACCACTATCCTTAAAAATCTCAGGAGTAAACCTGTCAGGGCCTGCTGCTCTCCCTCGTTTCAGATTTCCTATGGCTTTTTCAACTTCGTAAAGGGACGGAGGACCTACATTAATTTGCCATTCAGGTTGACTAGAGATCGTGGGAAACCGAAGTGTGGCTGAAGGCCAGTTGAACTGACCCCTAAAGTGTTCTGCCCATCGATCCAATCTCCTGGATTGAGAATGAATAATATGTCCATCTTTCTCTGAGATTGTTTCGCTAACGGTCGGGTTCCTAATTCCGGTTTCCTTAACGAGTCTGAACAATTGTCTGCTATTACCTAATGCCGCTGCCTTTTCCATCTCTCTTGCTTTCGCTACCCACCACTGTTCGCGATCATTGCGTAGACTTATTGTCAGCTTGCGCTTAAGCTGACTCCGATCTTCATTATGTTCAGAGCCAGGTGGAATGAGTTTCCGAGCATTTATCAGTGCGATAGATGCTGCTGAGATCCAGTGTTGCTCCCTAACGTTCTGGTTTACCTTACTAGCAGATATCACTGCTGTTTCCACAGCTTTTCGGATATCATTCCATGCTGCCTCAGGGTGGGCATCACATACATGGCTGCCTAACTGTTTTCCTAGTTGTTCCTGA